TATTTATACAGAATGAGCTGCGATATAAATACTCCATTGTTCCTCAGCGCTGCTTAGAAGGTCACTGGTGAATCATGGATGCTGCAGGGGAGCATGTCTCTTCCCTTCTGTTACCTATGATCTATATCACAACACAGACCCCCGTGCATGTGCCCCCCCCCCCCTGCTCCACACACACACACACTCATGGCAGAATGTGATAGTGCTGAGTGCTGCAAATGTGCCCACAGCTGAGATCCCCAACAAAAGAGACTCGGTTGTGGAGGCGCTCGACCAGGGGCCAGTGGGTCAGACAATGGCTCTCTGTTCCAAATATGTTGTTTGTCACATCGCCTGCCTTTTACCCGTCAATGCCGCCGTTGTTCCGCTTGACTTCAACTTTATCCCACATCTTATGCAACTGGATATGTAATTTTACTCACATGCTCCGTATGCTGAGCGTCAGTGAGCTGAAGAGTAGCTGCGGCGTTAGTCATATTGTTTTGACTGATGGACTGAGACAAGAGTGAGGGAGAACAGAAGAACTCTGACTAATTAGAAAGCTTTAACAGCATTTGCATAAAGGAAATAGGGATTTTGCTCCTCGTTTACCAAAATAAAAGCCAGACTCTTGTGTTTTTAAAGCCATGTGAAGATAAACTATGCTTTTTTGCAAAATGAAGTTTTTATGCTAACAACGTAATAAGAGCTCATAAATCTCTTCAGCGTGTATTGCCTCACATTAATATTCATGTTTTCTGGATGTTTGGGAGAAGATCCATGAAGGTACGATCGCTGAAGAGCGATGAATTTCTGCACTCGAATGAGGGAAAAGGGGGGAATTCATTTGTGCAGGAGCGCCAGAGTGTATTTATAACATGTCACTCTAGAGCTGCCAGAGATTCAGTGGGGATCTTATTATTAGAAACTCTCAGCAGGCACTGGTGGCGGTGGCCTGCACTTGTTTTGTTCTTTCCTGCCTCTAGAGGAAACAAGGCAGCAGTGTGATTCCATGATTGTTTCTGGGGTGAGCTCTGCTCCTGAGATGAGGAGAGCCACAGGTGATTGAAATTATAACACACACGCACACACACGCACTCACAAATGTCCCTCGTGATGCGCCTCAAGCTGCTGCCTCTACAATAACCTGCACTGCATTTTGCGAATAATCATCTTTATGGCAACTCCATTATAACTTAATAGCTTATTAAAACTGTTTACACGGCCACAGAGGGACTCGTGATGTTTCCGCGGGATCTCTGGACGCCGATGAAAACAACAAGTCTATCAGTTTTTTATTTCATGGAGCAGAGAGAAAATGATCTCACGGTCCCCCGGAGTCTGCAGGCGACTCGTGATACCGTCTCCCGTGTTGTGCGCTTCACAGAGCGGACTGGGCCAGAGTCAGAGTCTCTCTGGAGCCTCCGCCTCTTTGCATGCGAGGGTTTTTCAAAGTCACCGACAGAACGGGAGATGGTGGAGTGAGTGTGTTTGAATTAGAAATTAGAACCAGAAAAACAGTGAGGTGCGTTATTTGGAGACGGACGCGCGGCCGGGAGCTTCTCCTCCTGCAGGCGCGCAGGAGAAGCTGAGACGCGCAGTGGAACCAACAAGAGGAGTCGACTTCCTCGTTTTGCTAACGGAGGACTCTGGTTTATATAGAGCTCTAAAAATAGCGCCGGTTCAGTCCAGTAGGAGGCGGAGATGCTGGGGAACGTGCTCCAACCACCGCGCACAGGATGAGTCGGCTCCGGCTCAGCATTGGCCGGGGCTGCACTCGGAGGCGGGGGTTGCGCTCCTGTGTGCCCATAGGCCTCCGCACCGAAACGTCATGTAATCACATGGGGGTGGGTTTGTCTGTAATTTTGAATCGGGGGGAAGTTTACAGTGCGCTGTCGGACTTTTGGAGAGTTCAGTGTTGTGCGCTCTCTGTGCGTCACACGCTCAAACCCTCCACTGGAAGCGCACGACCGCCGACTGTCACCATACATGCGAGTACAGCCGAGACTCCAGCTTCTCTCTCAACGCAGCGGGCTTCGTTTTTCTCTTGCTTCGACTTGTGGCTGCGTCCGTGGAGTGAAATGGATGTCATCCCAATGTGCAGCATCTTCCAGGAGCTCCAAATTGTGCACGACACCGGATACTTTTCGGCGTTGCCGTCTCTGGAGGAGTACTGGCAGCAGGTAACCGCCTCTCATCCAAACCCGCAGGTTTTTTGACAGCTCGCTCCGTGCGCCCCGTGCCACTGGTGCGAGGAGGGCGCGTAATTCTCCGCTGACAGCTCCCCGTGGACGCGCAAATGTCAAAAGTTGTGTACGAAACCTTTAGTGCAACAGTTCGTGTTCGTGTTTAAAGTCTCCGTGCGTGTGTTCACATAGGAAATGGTGCAAGTTCCCTTTATGACAAATCTCTAATGTTCCGTTTTTCGACTTTTTCTACGCGTCCCGTTCTTCTCGATTCGTTATTTTTACCTCTAACATTTCTACCCTCGATAATTATCGAGCGACTTTTGGTTTCAAGTGATGACAAATATTCTCTGTCGCCGTTTTCGTCGCGTTCTTTTTTGGCTCGTCGGTTTGTGATAAAGTCAAAACACGTTGTGTGGCTGATTGGAGCGATTGAATGGCGAGCCGTGCGTCTTTGCGCGTATCTCCTCCTCCCCCCTTCTCTCTCCACCTCTCTCTGTCTCTCTCTCCTACACACACTCACACAGAGGGGGAGAGAGAGTGACAGACTGACAGAGAGAGAGAGAGAGAGAGGGACTGATTCTGTCGACCCCTGCGTGACACAACAGAGGAGTTTTATCCTGGAAACGATGGAGCGGTTAGAGTCGCCTCTTGTTCCTGCTGGGAAATTATATTTAAACCGTTTCCCTCTTCTTCATCTTCTTCTTCTGTCCCTGCTCGTCTGTCAGGTCTCTTCGGCTTCAGGCCAAGTCTCGTCCTCTCAGGCATTTAAAGCTCCCATGGGATTTATGCAGCAATGCTGACGAGAAACATTTGCCTTGAATGCTCCCTGTCTCTGTCATGTCCTCGCAATTTCCCCATTTCAGACTGAGAGAGAGATTCTGTGAAGTTGCATCTGTGGTTTCACTGAACTCCTTCTCCTCCTGAGATAAACTGCATCTGTGGCATGACTATACAATCATTCTTTAAGAAAGTGCGTTCACCCAGGTTTACATAATGTGGACGTACAGGCTGTTCTTTCATTTAAAATGCAGTGTCAAGGTTGCCCTCAGAGTCTGCACGCAGTGCTGAGGCTCGTGCCTCAGAGCAGAATCCTCTACCCTCATTCTCACACTTCCCGGAGGCCTGGAGAGGTGGAACGCTCCGGCTCTCACATAGGGACTAAAATATAGGTTTCAGAAAAGTTAGAAAAAGACAGAAAACCATATTAATCTGTAAACCGAGCCTCTGCCCTGCAGCCGGGCACATCGGTTTGCTCAAGCAACAGAAATCTGGCTGTAAATTGGAAATCAGCTTCATTAGCAAATTGCGCAGGCCCATTAGCTGCCCTCATATCTGCCCTGTGCTCAGTGACTGTAGCGGGCTCGCTCGCTCTCTCACTTCCTTTTCAAAGGAAATAAGCCCACAATCCACAGCGGCTCTTGCAGTATTCATGCCAGGCTTTTTATGGACCCCCGTGAACCAGACCTCCCTCCTCTCTGTCCCCAGTGTGCTATGTTATTTCTAGCAATGCCTCCGAATGCATTATTAAATCCACATTATGGTGAATAATTGATGGATTTAAAAGATCTACAAGCACTTCCCTAACCCAGTGGGGGGTCTCTGTAGCATATGTAAATTTCATGACCGGCCCCAACGCACACCTTAAACGCACTCACACTCACATGCGTGCACGCGTTCACGGGTAAGAGCACCTTGTTCTCGGATGCTCTCTGAAGGACGCGTGGTGCTTGTAATCTTCCCTGATATGGTCTCAGAGGGCACCCGTAGAACGTTCCTCACCATCCTCTGCATAGGACATTGTGTCTCGCCTCGTTCATGCTGGCAGGAAGGAAGCAGCGCCCCCCCCCCCTCCTGCTGCTTCTAAGAATAAACACAGAGTATAGAAGAACAGCAGAGTTTGTGTTTCCCGTAAAAAAAATTAATAATTTGTTGTGGACTTCAGGTTTGTGTTGCCTCGGGCTCCGTGCACCCGTAAACTCACTGCTATCTCGTCTCCCCCCACCCCCCCCCCCCCCCCCCCCCCCCCCCCCCCCCCCCCCCCCCCCTGCACAGACCTGCCTCGAGCTGGAGCGGTACCTCCAGAGCGAGCCCTACGTCTCGGCCACCGACCTCAAATTTGACAACCAGGAGGACCTGTGGAGCAAGCTGATGCTCGCCTGCGGGGACAAGTCGAACGACCCCGACCCAAAGATCCCCCTCATCAAGGAGGAGGAAGACAATCAGGACAACCAGCACGTCGACACCGCCGGCTTCAACTCTGACGCCAGCAGCGAGGCCTCGGACAGCTCAGAGGAGCTCTCCCCCACCCTCGACTTCTCCTCCAGCTCTTTTACTGACATTCTGGGCGACGGTGGCGAAGACTTGGGCTCTGCCATCATCAGCACGCCGCCGTCCTCACCTGAGCTGGGCAAGGACGGCTCTGCAGCCCAGGTGTGGAACGGGATACAGACTGCGCTGCAGTCGCCTGGGAAAATAAGGACAGGGGGCACGGAGAGGACCCTGGAGAGGTCGGGGCTCACCAGCGGGGAGGCGTCGCCTGACGGGAGGAGGCGGGTGCACAGGTGCAACTTCAACGGATGCAGGAAGGTGTACACCAAGAGCTCGCACCTCAAAGCACACCAGCGCACACACACAGGTAGGACATGCTTTTATTACTGTGAAGCAGCTGGGGGGGGGGGACAGTTGTAACATCAGGTTTTTGAAGAAAAACTCATCTGAAGAGTTGATTTTTATCATTCAAAGTTCTGAAAATTCTCCCGCATAGTTTGAATTGTTTGTCAGGAGGAATGCCCTCAACTGTGACCTAATTCACACAGAGGAACGTGACTTCATGCAGGGGGGGAAGGGAAGGACGAGACGGAGGGAGGGAGGGAGGGAGGGAGGGAGGGAGGGACGTTCTTTTGTGGCCGAGCGGCACCCAGAGGATGTGGATCCTGAAAACAAATCAACAGTTCTCAGGTTTCACCCTGGGAAAGGACTCAGAGACTTTCAGAGCCCGAGAAGAACAAGTGAAATTGAAAAAGAAATTATGGGAATCTGACATTTGCGGTGTTTCGTCCGGGGTTCAGATGTGAGCAGTTTCCCTCGTGACCTCTGACCTCTGCCAGGCGGTTTACAGCTGTGTCGCCCATTAGCGGAGGAAGTCACATTCCTGGCATCCTTCGCTGACCATGTTAGCCACATGGTTAATGGCCTTTAGGACCATTAGGAACGACCTCTATAGTTTTTCCTGCAGCTCTCCCCCATTACATAAGCTGTCTACTCGAGCAGCGCCTTAAAGCTGCATACCGCAGCTCTCAAAATCCACAAGGCACAAGATTGTTTCTCTCTTGAACGCAGAGTAGCCAGACCAATCTGCTTAGCACCTGCTTAGGATCATATTTTCTCTGAAACCCTCGATGTAAAACCCCTCAGACGGGAAAGAACTGTAAATATTGGCTTCATGTCTGCAAAGTTGAATTTTAAAATGTCAAATAGTCTTTGATTAAGAGCTGAAAATTACCACGATGGTACTTCACAGTGAAGATTCAGGAGATGAACGTTATTCAACAGAATATACGAGTATCTGAGCGTCTAGATAAATCTTTCAACACTTCAAGAATGTGAAATATCTTGTTTATCCTCTGAACCGAATTAATCCTGTGACTCCCTTGTGACTCTTGCAGGTGAGAAGCCCTACAGGTGTTCATGGGAGGGCTGCGAGTGGCGCTTTGCACGAAGCGATGAACTCACCAGACACTTCAGGAAGCACACCGGAGCAAAGCCATTCAAATGCAGCCACTGCGACAGGTGAGCAAGCCAGTCAATAACCTGAGTGACCTCCAGTCTGAACGGAAAGGGAAAACGGTCTCTCCATTTTTAAATTGTCGGTATCGCAAGCAGCACGAGGAAGTCATGATGTCACACGCTAACTTTGTTCCCTTCGACCAACGCTCGCGCCTCGTTGACAGGATTTCCAGAATATTAACTGTCGAACACAAGAGCGTGGCTTTCACCCCTCTCTCCTCTTCTTCGCCACCTTCCGTGCTGAGCAGCCGCTCGCTAACAAAGACGTCTGTGTTCGGATGACTGTATCATAATGACAGATAAGGTGGAGGGACGGACGAGGGTCAGGGACGGACAGATGGGGTCGGGGTCAAGGGGTTAGATGAAAAGCGAGTGAAAGAACAAGGGGAATGAGTGACGTGTTCAGATGAAGAGCAGGAAACGTCTCAATGAGCCAGTGTTGCTTTAAATGTGTCTGGATGAAAATTCTCACACGAGCAGCGTCTCTGAACCTCGTGTCACGTTCTCTTGACTTTAGCCGAACCTTCGTGTTGCACACGCCGACGTCCCCGTTCTTCTTCTGCTCCTGCGATAAACGACAGGACAAGTAAAACCAAACTCTTACACGCGTGTGGAAACCCGAGTCAGGCCGGGGTCGGGCGAGAATTTTAAAACGATGTTCCGGTTTTTAAGCTGCACGTGCTCGTGATGAGGGGAAACATGTCGGCTCATTTCGAGAGAAACTAAAAACCAGACACCCGGGATTCGAACTACCTAAAATCTACAAACAGGGTGGAGGCAGCCAGCCACCAGGGGGCGATCCAGATGATTTCCCATTTGTTTACAGTGAGGGTTTAGAACAGTGAACGTGAAAATGGACATTCAATATTTTCTCTCCTTGTTTTCTCCGCAGGTGTTTCTCCCGCTCCGACCACCTGGCGCTGCACATGAAGAGGCACATCTAAGATGGCCTCCTTGTCGAGAGCTCTGAGGGATGATTCTGGTTGATTGTCCCGACCTGTTGGGGGATCAGCGAGGCCGGTGCGTCCTGGGAGCGCCAACAGGAGCACCGCCGTGTTCCAGGCGGTGGGGAAAAAAACATGAAGCAACGCAGGCTATTATTTGCACCATACTTAGTGCCTCCAACACCTCGCTGTGGAGATCGCTCTTGAAAGGCTTTTTGCAGAGGAGGGCGGGGAAATTTAAAAACTGGGAAAAATCTGGGCTGGAGAAGACGGGAAGAGACTCCTCTGTATGGTGTTCGACGCTTTTTTCCTGGAGGATTATGGGACTCCTGTGGGGGTCGCCGTGCCTCCAATGACAGTGTGTTTGCCTGTGCGCATGGGGACTGAGTGCCTGTGACTGGTGCCTGTGCCGGCTTTTACGGAGCAGATGGAGCTTGCATTGTGGAACGCGAATGAATGAGTGAATGACCTGGAGGGGGCGATGTTGTGCAGTGTTTTTTTGCGGGGGTTTGGGGGGGGGATATCTGTTGTCTCTCTGAACGCAAGCGAAAAATATACGGTTCTGTCTGTGTCCTTTGAGTGTCTCGGCTGCGGAGGCGAGCATGTGGGTGATCGTTTTTTTTTTAAGCGGAGCCGAGTTGCGAGAGGGCGCCCCCTGCGCGCCCGGAGGTGGAATTACAGCTCCCTATTCAAAAGTGGGAGTTTGTTTTGTTTAGTGCAGCTATTAAATGTGCAATGTATTAAGTCTCAAACCATACACGCTATAAAGCTCATTTTGTTGTCCATTGTGTGAGCTCTGTATCTTAAAAACAAAAAAAACAAAGAAAAAAAAAATCTACGGTTGTACACAAACAGTTATCGCCATTATAACAGTTGCATGGGATCTGGGGATGCGTTTCTCACCCGTTTGCTTATCGGACAACGAAATTCCATTCAAGAGCAGCTACCTTCATGTTATGCTATCGTAGTATTGTACAAAACACATAAGGCGGTCGTTTTTTAAATTTTATTGATAAGTTGGGGATACCACTGTTGCTTGGCAACTGTCTTGACCACGGGATTTTTCGTTCCTTTTTTCTTCACTTTAGCGCTTCTCTTGTTTTCTATCTGTAAATGCACTGTTGACCTTACTGATGCCTTATGTAAGTGGCCTTGTCCTGTTAAATAGATCACTCTCTCACACACACACACACACAGGGGACAGCTAATGCAGTGGTAATTGTGGTAGTTATTGAAAAGCTTTATAAAGGCTCTGATCCATACAGTCACACCTTTGCCCCCTTGTCTCCACACAGACTCGTCTAAACTCCTGGATAATAAAAAAAAAAAACGAAAACTATATATCAGCTTCACGATGACTGACATTTTTACATTTCTGTGTCGAATATATATCAGAACTTTATCAGAACTGCAGCTCGAGGCCTGAGACAGAATCGTGGCGGCCGCTCGGTGTAGCGCCTCGGATGGTTTACTACCATGTAGTATAATCGGACTGTAACTCGCCGACAAAGGTACAAAGAAGTCTTGGAAAGATGTTCTCATGAAATGCGGCACGCTCGGCCAGCAAGGATGTGACAAATGGAGATTTTACCCAAAGAACACAAACACAATGGGGCCATTTGTATCAGTCTGTGTCAAAGTCTCACCGTGGTTCAAAGAAAACGTCCTTCAGAGCGATGACGACATTCTCAATTATGAGTCTGTTTTGATGTTGTGTGTTTTGTCTCGCCCTCAGGCTGAGTCTGTGTCTTTACTCAGTCCTGGTTTAAACAACCCATGATCTGACTAAACGGTACTGAAACCAGTCGAACCAGTTCAGCTGAGCTGCGTCGCAGGTCTCTGGGTTTCTGTGTTTCTCTGCGGCTGAACTGAGACGACACTTTAGGACCAGATGCATGTCTGTAACGACTTCACTATTTTGCATGTTTTAACTTGAGTTACTTGACTTCAACGCACTCCTCCGTGGGTTGATATAATTCTCCGAGATTTATTGGAAATCTCTTCAGCTCACATTTGGACAAACTTAATCACCGTTTTACCCAATTTCTGGAAAAACAGTTTGGAGCCACAGTGCAAGTGTTTTGTCAAAAAAATAAACGTGTGTACTTTAAGGGTTTGGCTGATCCACGTGCTCATACAACTCGATGTCTGTCACTCAGTAGTCAACATCACAGGTAGCCTTGTTCCCACTCTGCAGCTGTACAGGTGAACCTTAAAGAACGTTCAAGAAAATTTCTTTTTACACTGAGAAATGTCAAAAATGCAAAGATTATGTACAATGTAAACTAAGAGAATTTTGTATGGAAGCTTCTATTTTGAAAGGGTATGGGACCAAAAAAAAAAAGTGTGTTGCTTCTAAACATGAACCAATAAAGAAAAGAGGCAGAAGAATTACTGTAAAATAGACACACTCCATTCTCCTTCATCTGCTTCTTCTTCGGTTTGGATTTGACTTATCAAGAGCAAATGTACATTCTTACAAAAAAAAAAAAAAAAGGCATCATCTACACCTGTGGCCTATCGTCATTCAAGAAAAAAAAAAATCAGACGTGAATTGTTCTGGACACTTGAATTGTTCTAGTTTTGCACTCTGGTGCCTGCTGAGTATTACGTTGGCTTGTTTCCCTTTTTTTTTTTAAATTTGCCATGTGATTTTTTTTTTTTCTGGATTTTCAAAGACCTTTCAAAGATGCCCCCCCCCCATCTTTAGCCAGAGAATCTTTATTGGACAAACATGGAGATAAAATATGAGGCTCTATTTTTTTGTTTGTTTTATGTTATAACAAGATTTTTTCATTTTGAAATTGTTTTGTAAAATAGTTTCTGTATGAATGTATTTTTTATTGGAAAATTGATAAAAAGACTTTATTGGATCTACATGTGTTTTTTATTTTTTTATTTGTTTTTGTTTTTGTTGATTCTGAAGGTAAAACGGTTCCGAACGTTTTGGAGGAGCTGCAGTAAACGATGACTTTTAAGATCAGATAAAATAAGATAAGAGTTTCAGTAGCAAAGACAGAAGTCAAAACATCTGTTAAAGTAATAAGTTAATGATCAATATAAACACACTGAAATAAAAACACATATATATCAATTTCATCAAATGAATATAAAGAGTGTAACGTGCAGGATTGAACATTAACCACTGAATTGGAGCCGGTCAGAGGTCAAGGAGCAGAAACAGATTTATTTGCATTCATTGATTTGTTTTTAATTAAATAAATAACTGAAGCTTACTGTGAATCCTGATTTCAACAGGAACCAGTGCAGGGAGGAAACAGGTGAGATGTCCAATCAGAGTAATGATGAAATTAAATTATTAAAAGTGAGGAAATGTTTGATGATGATTTGACAAAACATTATGACTTAGCTTCTTGAGATTCAGAAGCAGTGCATTCTGGGAACACACTAAGAGTCTGGAACAAGAAACGTGAGCGGACCGTGTCACAAAGTTGACCTCTGACCTCTGACCCTCAGTGTTGTTCCTGCAATAAGAAATGATTACTGATATTTTTACATGTTTCCACTTTATGTGACCACTGGTATTTTTTTATTGTGGAGGAAGAAAACAAGTTAAAGAGACGCTCATACTTTTATTATCTGCAGAATCTCGTGCATCCTGGAACTTGGATTATTGGGGCATTATCTGGATCTGCATCGCTACACTAATTCATGAGTGGGTAAAATAATGGTATCCTCATCGTGTGTTGAACCGGCCGTGTTAAAGGTCGATTGTTTCTGAAACACTTCTTATCTTATTTGTCATAATCTCGTCGAAAGCAGGTGAGAGAAGTCGTCTTCTGGCGGTTGTCAGTCAGTTGCATTTAGCCTGCTCTTGCTAACTTCTCCAGTATTTGCCAACCTGAGCTGTGAACATGTATTTGTAGAATGCTAAAAACTCCGCCAGGTCATTGCAGCCCCCCAAAAAAACAGCAGAGGTCATGACCCCGGTATCCTCTAACCCGGACTGACCAGACGAGCCACAACAACCTGTTCCTCCAGTTCCACTGCGACGGTCACTTAACCTCCGTTCTTCCACATTTTCAACTGGAGAAAAAAAAAACAATTTGAGAAGTAGACGTTAGTGATTCAAGGGGAAGTGTTGTTTATTCAATTAAATACCAAAGATTTCACTCCTGATACTTGATGTTATTCCATTTTAATTTGATTTAAATCCCTGAGACTGTTCAGACAGTGAGTTCACATTCAGCTCCATCAGTGAGATGAATGAGAACATTCAAGGTCAACCAGGAAAACAAGATCTACCCCAGAGCAAGGTTTCACCACATGCACATATGTATAACACACACACACACACACACATGCACACATGCACACATGCACACATGCACACATGCCCCCCCCCCTCCTCGGAGCTCATATGTCCATGGGCCAGTGGGGGGGGTTGCTTGTTAAACCAGAAGGAAAGTGGAGGTCAGTGACCTCACATGGGGACCGTCGTCCGTCAAGTCTACGTCACCTGGAATTAATAAAATAAAATAAATAAGTAAAAGTACTGACGGGGGGAGAAGGATCGTCGCCATGGTACACTTGTATGTGTACTTATATTGTTTATTTTGTGGTTTCATGTGTAAAATCTATGTTTCTCACATTAGAAGAACAAAGTTAAGCTCAAGTTTTTTGGGGTTTTTTTCTTATATGTGAGTTTCTATATTCTGGTTTTCCGTCTTTTAAATTTCACACAGACTCTAAATCTGAAGTTGAAATTAAGGAAAAGAGGCCAAAGACCAGAGTCACACACTTTGTGCGCTGAACTCGATTTGAAGATATTGAATAAATAAAACATTTATAAATGTCACTCAGAGTGTAAACCTCCAACAGTCCCCTAATGAAACCTTAATTAGATTCACTGCATCGACACCTAATCACACACGCTCATAGATATGAGTTCAAATGTGACAGATCTGTGGACGTACCCTCCACAGAATGTCACGAAAACCATTTCTTGCGTAATCCTACAAACGAACAAACAAAATGTATGTGAATGAAATGTTTCTTGAGCAGCAGCAGCGTCCGCTCTCCCTGCACACTCTTCACTGACGACAGCTTCTCCGACCCCTGTCTGCACGAACAGTGATGAAGAGGTCTGGAGGTTTGAGGGGGCTGCCGGCCAGACTCTGGGTCCGGCGCCTGATGGATGGGCATTCCTCACCCCCCCCCGGACCCCCTCTCCCTTCCACTCATCCTCCCGTTCTCCCGACTCTCTCCTCCTCCCCCGAGGTGATGAACAAGCTCATTACTATGGCAGTCTGATAAAAGGAGGCCATTATCTTTTCTCTGTGCACTTTGAACTCTGATGGAGGAATCCGCTCCTCCCCGTCTCCGGCCTCTGGTTACGTAAAAAAGCCGCCGCGGCACGAAGTGAAACAGGTGGCTCGCCGCCAAATGTTTGCGTCCCACGCTTTCTTCTCCGAGATGCCTCCGCGGCCACATACGCTGAATTCTGGCTCGTCAGTGAACCCACTCTATCTCTGTTTCTATCTGACCACGAGGCTCCTGTCGACAGAGCAGGAGTTTGTCTCGAGAGCGACCGAGAGGCCGTCATGTCACATTCAAGGCTTTTATCAGGCTGTTTGTAGAGACTTTTATAATTTCTCATATAAACTTGTTCAGTTATTTCTGGGGTGTAACACCTTTTATTGTGAAACTACAAGAAGTTTTTACTTTCATTATAAAAAAGAAAACAAAGCAAAGTGCAATGAGTCCGACTCAGTTAATCCACTTGTGAAAGTGACTACGAGTGTTTTGTAATCTAATTAATTAATGTCAGTAAAATCAGCATTTCCTGTAGATTAGTGGTGCAGGACATTTTAATTGCCATTTTATTTACTCTATTGCATTTACATATTGAAAAGCTATGGCTGTTATTTAAGAACGTGACCTTTAAATAAGATAAAGAAGAATTCTTTATACCGAGCTTTCAGGCAGACGCTGGGCTTAAATTTCTTTTTTATTAGAAAGTGAATTCACGTCATTGTCCAATATGAAAACTGCTTGAATTAAAAGTTGGTTGCTTTGCACAATGACTGTTCTGGTTAAAGCAAAAAGTTTTTAAATGTTAGTTACAGGCAAAATATCAAACAGACAACAGCAACAGAAATGGGAACCTCTGCCAAGGTCGAACAATCCTACACACGATTGTCTGGCTCGTGTATATCTATGTAAAAAAATGATTTCTTTCTCATACAGCACAGACCAATCGATTTATGAAGAATGACCTCGAAGAAAATGTTTCAAAGTCAAAGAAAGTTTAGTGTTGATCTGTCCAGAGGCTGATAAAGAAACAGACAGGGCTGAAAACACCATCTCCTTGTTGGAGGTAACAAAAATAAATTTGCTTTTATTCTAAAACTCTAAAAGTCCTCGACCTCTGAAGTAGTTTGACAGAACAATGAGATCTTTAGTTTGTCTGAATGAGAATAAAAGAGACTGAGACAGAAAAGAATCCATGACAAAGTTAATACAACATCGTCTTTCACTCACCGGGATATTTACTCCAAAATATTCTTCAGTGATCTTGTTGACATGTCGTCATTTAACACGTCAACACAGAACCAACGCAACGTGTTTGTCCACAAACAAAAAAAGAATCGTTTGAGATTTCCACAAAGAAAATCTGCTATTTTGACACGAAACTGTTGATTTTTCAAAGTTTTCAAGTTTGAATCAATGAAGCCAAAGTTCATCCAACTTCAACGACAGAGTAAGAAAATTAAATTAAGACGAATCGATGCTTCAGTCTAACAGAATGAAGATTTGCTTCATTTTTTCAATGCACTCTAATTCTAAACTAAGACAAACTTTTTCTAAAAATAGCAGCCAAAGTTCTTTTAAGTAAAAAAAAAAAAAAAAAGACTGAAGAACCCTGAGGACACAAACATGTAAATGTCTTAAGAATGAGATCATGGACTGAAAATAGCCGTTTTCTTTTCAACAGTGTTCGAGGTATTTTGGCAGCGGCGCGTGTCCCCGGGTTGAGTTTCACACGGGGCAGATTCTCCGGCTCCGTTTGGCAGCGGGGGGCCGTTGTGTCCTTAAAGTAACCGTGAGCGTCTCTGAGCGCAGACGATGCATTCATCTGCAAAGTACGTTTGTGTTGATTCGACTCGACACTCAGCAGCGCTGTGTTGCTCAAAGTTACAGAGGAAATCTCCCTCGGCTCCGGGGAACACGAGGAATTCAGAATCACAGCAAATATTTTTATTGTGTCATTAATTAATTGATCCTCTCGAAACCTCATATTCAGTGTCACTGATTACGAGACTTCACGACTGCGTCACGTGATCATTAAAAAAACGATTAATTAAAGTTACTACTTCTGATAAACTCTGCCGAGGCAAGTTTAGAATCCCAACAAAATAACATGATAACATGATGCCGACAGCAACCGTGCCAGAGAATTGTGCCCCCCCCCCCCACTGTTTTTAGAGTTCACAGGGATTCTAACCTGCGAGCCAACAGTGCTAACCACTGCG